ATATACTGTATATATATTTCTCTTACGCTGTGTTAAATAATATATTTATAGGAGTCTTTAATGCTACATTTACACCAGCAAATGACGGTTATGTGACAGATGTTTACTGTACAATATACCATGGTGGTACGCCAGAGGTTGACGTCATACTTATGGCAACGAAAGAGGACGTTAGCGAAAATACTACGACATCACAAAAATAAGATAGCCGAGAAATTGCATCATATAAATTCTCTGTGCTATCTGGTATGGATTCAACATACACGTGCGTAATCCTAAACGCGAATGAATTGGCAAAACTTGCTATTCTTCCTGTTATAATATTTCGTAAGTGGTGTTTCAATTTCAAAATTTACCAATAGCTATCAAGTTGTTTAAAGAGTAGTAAAAACAAGGAAAGGAAAAAGAGAAGCAGCACTAGGAGCTATCACATCCAGTCCATGTCGGTGTTTTACATGAACAACTCTGGTTTAAAGAAATATATCAAAATCGATACATTGAATGTTTAATCCATTTTTAAATTATCCTAGTTCAAACCAACTTGTTACAAATTTTATGAGTATCATGATATGATGATTTTGGTTGAATTTAAAACAGGATTGCCTTCATACAATGGAAGTCTGCAGATTGATATGACTACGAGTTCTGCAATAAGTATTAAGTGGACTGCGTGGGACAACACTACAGACGAAGGAGATGGGCCTGTTATTGGATACATTATTCATCATAGACTTAGCAATGCCGAAACTGATGACTGGAAACAATCACTAATTCATACTACATTGTCAGGAACTGTTTCAGGGTTGCTGTGGGATACAAATTACACTTTTGCAGTGTCAGCTGTCAGACCTGGTGGTGGCGGCAAAGGTCCAATTGGAATGCAGCGAATCAGCACGAAAACTCTTTGTGGAAGTTAGTTTTTATCCAGGTGGAGAATGTGTTGTTAAATTTAAAAACAATAATAAGAATATTATCGAAGAATTCCATTGTTATTACAATAATTCTAATGACATATATAAGATAATTCCAGTTAATTTAAATTAGTGAATAATAACTTCTAATAATTATATATTGTTGCAACGTCAATTTATATCTTCTGAAGGACCTAAGGTGGGTGCTGGTATTGGTGGGGGCGTTGGAGCAGCCATCTGTACTATTGTGTTGGTTGTGATTATTACAATAATATTTCGGTAGGTGTTAGATAAATATTTTAACTTTATATTTTGACATGGT